TTGACGGTGGTTTCCCCGCGATCATTTTCTTTCGAAGTTTGGAAAATTTTAAATCTCATTTTGGGAGAGCATTTGGTTGATTTGATTAATCCTGCGTTCTTGGGGTTTGGAGAATCAGCGCAAAAGAATATTTTATGTTTGTTAGGAAAGACCTCGGGCCCTACTTTTCCAGGTCTTTTCGATACGATTTTTGAGAACCGATCCAATCTCCTTTTAGGTGTTTTAGATGAATCAGTGTCTCCTCTCTCTCACCCCATTTTTGTTCTTTTCTTTCCTTGCTTCTTGGTTCGGGTTTTTTGATGCTTATGTCCGATGCATAAGTGTCCACATATGGCCTTTTGCTATACGTGAAACCATCAAGCAATGTCGCAAGTAGTCGTTTTGGGGCGTACGGTGTTGATGATAAAGGCACACCGAAGATAGAGCCTAAAGATGTCTTATCCTATAACATCAAGATCCAGGCATTTGATGAACAATAGGATATGATATCCTTCACCGACATAAGTCTAGCGGTAGTCGGCTCGAACCTCCTCAGGTTGTTGGCAGTCCTATGCCTGACAGCGTAATCGACTTTTTTTTTTTTTTTTTTTTTAAAAAAAAAAAAAAAATTTTTTAAAAAAAAGATAAGTTTTGATAAACCATTTTAAAAAAAAAAACATACTTTTCTATGAAACGAAAATTGATAACACTTCTTTGCATGTTTAAAATTTGTGTGTCAAAAACATAAATTTTAAAATATGTTTTAAAATACGTTGTCCACCTGACGAATATCTGTTTAGGCTGGAACACAGCCCTCTAAGTGAGGTTCAAGACACAATTCTAGACGAGTGGCGGGTTCTATATATTCGGGTGACCAAGTAGCCTTCGTGGACCCTCGAGAATAAATATAACTGAGTCTAGTCCCATACGAGTGCTTGCGGTCCCCCCTCATCTGATTACTTTACATTTTGCAGCAATTAATTTTTCTGTCTTCTACCTGCTACTGCTCTTCCTGTAAAACATGATACACTTGGCTTGTTTTCTACCTGCTACCGTACTGTAAAGCATGTCTTGTCCTGTTTTCTACCTGCTACCGTACTGTAAAGCATGTGGCTTGCTGTACTTAACGAACATCGGATCTCACGGGCATACAGGTTTGCTTTACATTTTTCAGTACTTTATTTTTCTGTTCCTACCTGCTACTGTACTGTACAAAATGTCATATTATTCTTGTTTTCTACCTGCTACTGCTCTTCCTGTATAGCATGTTATACCATTTCTATTCCTATCTGCTACCGTACCGTATAACATGTTATATTATTCATGTTTCCACTTGCTACTGCTCTTCCTGTATAGCATGTTATATTGTTCCTGTTTCTATCTGTTTCTCTTCCACATGCATTATATTGTTTCTGTTTCTATCTGTTACTGTTCCACGTGCATTCTACTGTTTGTTCATGCATTGCACACTTTATTTTATTTTTTTTATAACTTCAAACATATTTCATTTTTATATAGTATGTTTAGAGGACTACAACCATAGGGCCGTTTGATTTAACACTATAACTTGATACC